TGGTACAAGCTTCTCGGAGGCTGGTGCTGTAGCAATGTGGTGACCCCGGGGGCCACCATTCTGGTACTCCCTCTACATTGGCACTTGAAGCTAGTCCCCTGCTTGCCTACCCCTAGTTATGCTACTGTCCAAGTGACATGCATGTAACTACCCAATTACTCATGTCCTTGAATTCTTGCTGGGTTCAGGTCCTTGTTCCAAATCAGGCAGAGCATGGATTTCAAACCATGTCTTCTACTTCCTTGGAGATGAACCACAACAGCAACTAATAGCATTCTCTGACTCCTGAACCCTAAAATCACGACCTCGTGGCTGACTCTTCCACTGTTAATTAAGTGGTAATTATACATGGTGACAACATCCAAAGCTCCAGAGCAGCATGTGAATAATGTTCCTTTCCCAGAGAGTCAAAGATGCAGTAAGACACAACCTTCCAGCTCCTGAAGTCTTGCCACTACCTCAGAATCTCAGTTTCTGTTTGAACAGAAAATATGTATCCCAGCACTTGTGGTAGTGAAGCCAGATTTGAATACAGAAACTGGACCAACTGATACAGCTTTCATCTACGTGAGCATGCAGACAATTATAGCTCTGTAAAGTATGGACTGTACCTGTATCATACATAGGGGGTGGGGACAAGAAATTCCCGGTGCTGCTGCTCTGCTTGATTGCATCAACATCACCCCGACAGAAGATGGGCTTGTATGGAAGGAGAAGAAGAACTCAAGAAACCCAACTCATTCAGACAGGTGCCTGCTACTAATGTGGGGAAGGAAAGGAGAGGGGACGGGAGGCCCTGGTACTAATGGGGTGAAGGGTCCTCATGCTATTGCCCTTGTCGCTCTAGATTCCACAATGCCTTATGCCAGTGGAAGCCAACATTTTTGGCAGGTGAGCCACAGATTAGCCCTACACTCTTCTCAAGTGTCACTTTAATCTCCTTCCCCTGCCCCATCTGCTGCTCTGCTTTCTGCTTCCCTTCCCTTCGCTTCCTGTCTGATGTTTTGCTTTGCTTTCTGCTTCCTGCCTTATCTGTTGCTCTGCTGCTTCTCACCACCCCAATTTGTGATGTGCAACATACACAGGCTGCCTGGGCTACTTGTGGCACCCAGGTTGGCTGTCCCTGCTTTATGCTGTGGCATCTAAAGCAGTGTTTCTCAACCTGTGAATCGTGGCCCAAAAGTGGGTCACAAGAATATACGAAAGGTATTGAACAAACTTTAAAAATGGATTTTCCTTTAAAGAAAAAAACATGGAAAACTGGGGCTTTTCCTGCTTGGGGCTGGTGGAGGCAGCAGGCCAAGAGTGAGAGGCACTGGGTTGGGACTTGCCATCAATGTTTACAAATGGGTCCTTGTACAAAAAAGGTTGAGAACCACTGATCCAGAATGGTAGATTGCCTTAAAGCGGTCCTTAAGAGTGATTTGTAGTGATCTGCTTTGCGCACTGTGAAACAGAAAGGTTCCACCCTGTGAAGTGAAAGCATGCCATAGAACCACTGAACTAGGCAGAACACACTTATGGTCTCCTTGGGTGCATCTAAATGTGCATTTAATCACAACTAAATTCAATGTACATTAGGCTAATACACATTAAGTGATTTTTGGCATGTGTCTACACGTGCAAAGACTTGGCACTAAAGTTAGTGCCAAGACCCTGCAGCCCTGCCCTGTTATCTTAGCAGCTGGGCTGACCTGGCACTAAAGTTAGTGCCGGGCCATGTCTACATGTACATGAATACGCTTTAAATAATTGCACCTAAATTTGATACCTACATTTACAGGTATCAAATGTAGGCATGATTAGCTTAATTTCACCATTTTTAATATGCATTAAGGGTGCACACATGTAGACATGTACCTGTAATGTGCATTAAATCAGGCTAATGCATTCTAACATGTCTCATGTAGCCACGCCCCTTAAGACCTAAAAATCAATCTGGTTCATGGAAAACCATTTCATTACTTTTGAAGTTATGAAGGAATAAAGTCAAGATGTTTTCCACCCAAGTTATCATTGCTCACAAAAATATCTTTCAGCTCACATGCACATTATCTATTGTTCTTAATTTTGCCGTCCAGCAACCCAAAGCCTTGGAAGACCGAAAATCATACAACATTCACTGTAGGATCTAGTGACATGTCTAAGGACTAACTTTTGCTCCCAGTCCTATGGAGAGTGATTTTTTTCCAGTGAGAAAAACATAAAGTAAAAAAAGTGAAAGTTTTTACCTCCCCCTTGTGCTTTCATAGTCATAGAAAGTGTCGACCCAAATGGCCAAGGCCTAAGCAAGTTGTGTGTGAATGAAAAGGCTGTGATAAAAATGGATTTGCAACTGTCACTAAAATAGACGCTACAAGGACACCCTCTGTGGCAGAAAGCCACCTTGGTTTCTCCCCAAAAATCTCTGCCCTGTGACACTGTGATTTAAATCTCTGTGCTGTGACCATTCAATTAGGATGGGCCCAGCACACAGGGGACCACACCCTCAGCCTGTCTCTTTAGGGAACT